ACCCTGGGAGGGCATGGGGGGGAGGGGCGTGTGACCCCTGAATCTGCATGGGACAGGGCGGGCTGCACAGAGCTGTTCTCAGCAGGGGCTGGGCTCAGAGCGGGCCCTGGCAGTGCTGTGTCCACCCCATATATCGCTGCCGCCCTGCTCCCAGTGCTGCTGCTGCCAGCCCCAGCTCAACACCCCGCCTCCACCCATGTGCTGGGAAGAGATAGGGCTGCGGCTGGTAGTGCTGGGGGTGGAGCGGCAGTGAAATTTGCAGTGGATGCAGCATCCTTCCAGCACCACCAGTGCCTGCTCCGAGCCCTGCCAAGAAGAGCCCCACGCAGCCCTGGCTGCAGCTAACCCCACCCCGCACAGATCTGGGGGGGCACCCCCCCATGCTCTCCCGGGGTGCAAGCAGTGGCAGGAGCCACCTTCCCCACCCCCTGAGTAGTCGTTCTGGCCCCCACCCCCCTCACCTGAGCAGCACGTGCCTCCTTCACTGTGGGGGACATTGATCTGCCCCTTCCCCATGACCCTTCCCTCCACCCTCCCCTTCCACTGCACCAGACTTACCAGCTGGAGGCAGCTCTCCCCACTGCCGGCTGTGCTCCTCACTGCCTGAGTGCTGCGCTGTGGCTGTGCACAGGACAGGCATTTATCAGCCAATATTTGATACAGCCAGTTTTCTTTGTATCAGTACTGATCTGATACCGGACCGATGAGCACAATAGATTCTTTTGTGAATCCTCTGTTTGTTCTCCTCCCCCACAGCTTCCTTAGCCCATCAGTCTTACAGGCAAAAGTACTCAAAGCATAAGCTCTCCCTTAGGTGTTGCTTGGTGTAGTCCAATGAATTCATTAGTCTTATGCCAGTTCATACTTGCTGAGATTGTGTCCCAGAACACCAAAGCACTGAAACATGAAGGCAGAAGGTTTACTGCATGTTCTGGGATGTACTGAACCATTAAAAAAATTGAAAGCATTCTTTAAATGAATGGAAATGCAGTGTTCCTTTGCTCTGTGTGCAAAGACCATCACAATCCTGTGGAATGACAATCTTGAAAATTTTGCTTTGCCACAGTGAAAGTCATTGAGACCCATAGACTGAAATCATAGAGTATTAATTTAATTCTCATCTCATTTCATCTCTTCTTTTAGCATGTCCTCTGCTAAACAGATATTGGGTATGTGCCCCCACAGCCACATATCCCTACATCTTACTTAAAAAATGCAATATTGATATGTGTTCATAGGCTACTTCATTAAAATTTTCACAGGGATATTCTGAAGTTTTTTAAAATATTGATTTCAGTATCCATTGAAAATAACAAAAATAAGGGAAATAACTGGGAGAATCAGATCAGGACCTCAATGTACTAGGCAGTTTGCCAATTGTAAAAGGCAGCCTCTGCCCCAAATAACTTAAAGCCTAAATAGGTAGAACACAGGAAGGGCGTGAGAAAAAATGAAAAGTATTATCCCCAGCGAACAGATGGTGGACTGAGGCAGTGGGAGGCTTGTGGGATCTTCCAAAACATATAGGCACTTAACTCCCATTGATCTTGGTGAGAATTAGGCACGTACTAGGGCTGTGTGAAATACCATCGTTTCGTTTCAACATCCATTTCAACATTTTGAAGGGATAGTGTTTCATTTCATTGTTTCATTTAATTTCCAAGCATTGTTCCATTTCGTTTCGTCAAGACAGTTTCAACGTGTTTCAGCATTTTGCCTATAGGCTATAATGGGGGATAATGAAAATGCTTAAAACTTTGTCATTTCTTGCCCGATTCAGATGAAAATTGCAGGGATGGTAGTCCCTTCTGAGGGCATGAAACCTGTCAAGTTTCAAGGAGATAGATGAAGGGGTTTCTGGGAAGCTGTTCAAAGGAAAACTCCTTACATTTGGCAGTAGCAACAGCCTCCTCTCATTCGGTATGCAGATCTGGGGGCTTGCACCCCCGGGAGAGCTGTGGGGCTGTGCTGGACTCCTCCCAGGGTTGTGGGCCCCCAGATCTGTGTGCCAGATGACAGAAGGCTGCCCTGCCACCTAGGGAAGATTCGTGCTGCCATGGCAGAGCTGCTCAGAGTGCAGCCTGGCAGTGGGAGGCGGGGAGAGCCTGAGCTGCACTCCACCTCCTGCCACCGGGCTGAGTTTCATGGGGCTGTGGAGCTGCACTGGGAGAGCCAAGAGTGCAGCCTTGGCTCTCCCCTTCCTCCTGCCATTAGGCTGCTTCAAAACTTGAAACGTTTCAAAACTTTCAAAATGTTTTGAGTGCCCTCATTTCATTTCAAAGCTGTTTCAAAACTTTTTGTTTTGTTTCAGTTTCACTGTTTCGAGCTTGAATGAAACACTTGGTGAAATTTCACACAGCCCTAGTACATACGTGCTTTTGAAAATTTCAGATGGAAACATAGCTGCATCCCAAGTAACTTTTCTGAAGGAAGGAGTCAGCTGGGATTCAACCTGTATCTCCTGAGTCCCAGTCCTGCCTCACCCAAAGGACCTCCCTCCCTTTCAGGCCCTGGTAATGCAAAAGCATATGAAATAAAAGAAAGGAGTCCATGGATTTCTGAGCATCCTCTGTTGCAGTTGAGGAAAGGGCAACTAGGGTTAGAAGAAGGTTTGGTTGCTTCTTGAAAGTGTCTGATAAATAGCAGTATACCTGCCTTTGACCCCATTTCTGTAGCATGGCATGACGACTTAAAATGCAAAAATGATCTAATTGCTACAAAGGGCTGCATGTGTACATGCGTGTGCATGATCCAGCACAGCCACGCAGTGTTGCAGAATCCTTGATCATAGAGAGTGCCAGATATATGTTTTCATACCATCTGCAGAGCCTGATCTAAAACCTACTTAAGTTAGGGATGATACCCCAAGAGATTTGAATGACATGTGGGTTAGGCCCAGGCCACATTCCATTCCCTGGCCTGCGAGCAACTTCCCTTCTGCAGCCAATGCCTTTGTCTTGGCAGCTTTTCCCTGCTCCCTCCTGCTGCCAAGACTCACACTTATAACCCTCTAGGTTACCTCCCAATATAAAGTGTGATAGGAATGTTTAAAAAGAAACCTTAGAAGTTACAGCTAGGTGGAAGTACTAGGGGTTTTTCCCCGTTGTTGTTGTTCTCTGTTCATGCAATGTCTGGCGCAACTGGGCTCTGTTCTGTGACGGGTTTCTATAATGGAAATAATAATTATTTTTATAACCCCACTATAAAACAAGCCTTTGTATTATTCTAGAAGGAGGTTTCAACAGCTCTCAGCAGTGGTCTACTTCTGTTTGAATTCAGTGGGTGTTCTACCATTGACTTCAGCTGGGGCTAGAATAAGACTGTTGCTGAATGTTTCTGAAAATCCCCTCCTGGGACACAATGCTTGTTACCTGCTTCTTTGTCTGTGTTCTGTCTCAATTATTTTGTAAGTTCTTCAGGCCCAGGGATGTGCCCTATTCCTTGCCTGTGAATCTTCTGGATCATTTGGAAAAATTATATCACTAAACAACATCTTCAGAGTTTATTCTGAAGCAGTAATTTACATGATATATTAATATCCACCTCTGCATCTGGACTCCTGCTCAGATTGTGACTGCGGCACCCCAGCGGTTCAAAGTGGACATTCTCCCTGTGGATGATGGGACACCCAGAATTGTCACCAACTTGGGCCTGCAGTGGCTGGAGTACGTGGATGGCAAGGTGACCAATCTCCTGTGTTCAGCCTGATCATGTGAGAAAAAGAGAGAAAGAGGAGGACTGAGAGATGTATAAGACAATTCAAATACCCTAGCATTTCTTTCTCTTATAGAAGTAGCAAAAGTTCAGGTATCTCCCTTTTGGTCTCAGGGAAAAAACTTAAAAAAGCAGAGGGCATGTTGGAGTCTATGAACTGTGACTACTAAAAACTTGATTGGAAGGGTTGTGGGGTGACAAACTTAATGATACCTCATACAGATTCTGGCTGGCAGAAGCTAAACTAATCTCCTTGGCCAGTTCCCTGAACAGTCTGCGCTTTGTTTGTATGGCGGGTCACTTCTACTGACTCACACCACGGAAATAAGATTGGGCCTCAGAGGCACAAGGTAGGTGAGGCCCAATATTGGAGTGCAATACTGACAGAAGAAAACTGGGTTGAAAATGCCACATTTACTTGAATTCAAGATGAACACCAATAATTAGATTGTAAACAAGGAAAATTTATGTATTTATTATAATTTTCAGTGTATGGTATCTCATTTTTGGAAATCATCTTAGATTCACTCCACCCACTGCTGCAGTAGGAAAGGCAGTGGTACAGGGGTAGGCAATGGGAGGGCAGGGGAGGCAGGCAGTGGAGAGGGGCAGACAGCCTGCCACCAGAGGCCTCCCACCCTTACTTAGCCCTCTTGTGCCTGGCATGCCACAGCCTCTTCCCCCTGCAGCCTTGAGCCACTGTCTCCCCTCCCCCCCTCACCCCCAACAGGAGGAACAACCCTCATCTTGGAATCAAGTTGATATAGACCAAAGAGTGCCTTTTCTCTATGTTTCTCTGATGACAATTGCTGGAATATTTGGGCCTTAAAGGAGCCATTACAATAGGTGTTTCACTGCAAATATTTCCTTCTATTAGTTGTATAATATACACATGCATGTGTTTGTTCTGCTGATTTGCCAAGTTAGATGGTGGTGCTTGGTACCCCTTTCAATTTTCTCAGGACTTGGTCTAAACCACAGAGGAAACTCAAGGTTATGCATAGCAAAATGGGGTTGCATTGCAGATTATTAAGATAAGGCTACTTCAACATAAACTGCCTGATTTATTAAAAGCATAAAAGCATTATACAGACATCAAATGGTTTTATTGCCACTATTTTCCATTCATGTTGCTCTCTCTCCCTGGGAAGTGCTAAGGAAGTGGAGTGAAACCAAGGTACATACATGAGCAGACAGGGAGGGAGGATTAAAACATGTTTCCTAAAACCAGACTGTGGACCAGGCCTGCCAAAGTTTTCAGCCTTCTTGGCAGAGCTAGATGATGGCTCGAGCAAGCCTGAGCTGTGTTTGAACTAAACGTGTCAAATTATTGTTTTCACACAAAACTAGAAAGGTTTGTCATGCCAAGTCAAACAAAAAATGACAGCTTTATGAGTTTTCGTTTATTCAAACCACAAACTCATCTTTAAAGTAATCAGATTTGAATCTGAATCAGAAACCTTTCTGTACTGTTAGGCTTTGTGTAAGGCATGGCCAGGCTCTACTGCCCCTGTCTGTCTCAGGCTGCCATTTGTCTGTCAGTTCCCTAAGTCTTCCCTCCCCAAGTATTCTTCTAAAGGGGAATTATTTTGATTGGCCCATGAATCAGACAAGCTATGCAGTATCTCAAGAGATTAACTACTTCATTGTGGCTTTAATCCAGGCAACCAATCTGATCACTAAGAAGGAATTATTGACAATGGATCCCGACACAGAGGACAAGCAGCTGATTTATGAGATAACAGCTGGCCCCAAACATGGCTACGTGGAGAGCAAGCTGAGACCAGGAGTAGCTGTGACTACCTTTACTCAAGGTAAGGGAGTGGGAATCAGGACTGCATGTCACTGCCCCCTGCCTTACTGCCATCCATGCCCATTTCCCTTGTCAAAATAGGTTACACAGAGGGGCTGAAATTGCTCTGTAAACATTGCTGACCTCAGAGGAATTACTTACTTTCCCATGTGTGAGGAAAGGAGAATCAGGTCCTTCTCTCCTGTCTTGAATCTTGTCTGTATTTACAATGCAAATGAACTTTACTTTTTTTCCCTTAAAGAAGTAACACCTTCCCCATAGAGCTAGACCCACATCCAGATCCCAGTTACCTTAGAGCTAGTTGTGGGGCTCCAGATTTGGCACAGAAATCTGTTTCGATTTGGCACAGAAAGGGTCAGCTGTGGATTTTGCATCTGGATGTAATTATTGCCCCAGCTGCAGCATGTCTGGATGTGGAGATTTCTGCTGTGCTCTCTCATTCTTTCCCATGCATTTAGAATGGTATCTCTTTTCTATCTCAAGCTATGTTGCTTTGAGGCTGGACTTTCAAAGGCTTCTGAGATTTTACAGCATTTATAGCTTGGACTTGCTACAAGTGAAGAGCTGCATTGGTTTTCTCCACCTGTGTTTTGTACCTTAAGAGAGAGAACATATCTGAGTGCAACACTTAAGGCAAAAAATTAAAATGGAGCCTGAAGCTCTTACTGCTGGTCCTTCTTGTCCTATGCAGAATGTTATCATTATGGGGTGATGTGTTTCTGACTACCTGCTTAGCATCTGCCTGACAGCTTGGTATAAGTATGACATTGCCAATATGACCCCTTTGGATTCAGTTGTGCTACTGGATGGTATTTTCAAAGGTACCTAAGCAACTTAGGAACTTGTCTCAATTGCATAATGGACTTGGGTCCTTAGAAGCCTCCATCTCTTTGAAAGTCACTTTTAAAAACCCTACCTTTGTTGTATTTGGCCACAAAGAGAAGGGGGTTGAGGTCTGAGGCAGACAGAGCACAGCCCTACTTCCTAGATATGCCTTGCCACGACCAGGGGAATGGAATGAATGCCTGCCACCCCTCCAGACACACACACATATACTGCCTCACTGGCCAGCAGAGCTGGGCCAACACCACAAGGTGGGAAGTTAGTCAGTGCTATGGCGACATACTTTCCCCCAGGAGCAAAGCAGAAGGAGGGCAGTAACTGTGAGAATGAGTCCCAGCACCTTTGCTGCATGTTCCCTTTTGGGTAGTTGGCTCTAAGCTGACCCTTAGTCAGGATGAGAATACTATCAGTACAAACAAGATCAGGGCCCCATTGTGCTAGATGCTGTATAAATAGGCAGGGTTCTTTTTCTGTCACTTCCTACAGACTTGCTGAGGCATGTGTATACCATTTTATATACAGTAAACCTATGCAAATGCAAAAGAAGAAAAGCAACATTGTTTTATGGGTGAGATCAAGCAGTGAAGTGACTGCAATAGAAAAGCTCAAGAACAACTGATCATTTCCATTGCTAGATGAAAGCTTTAAAAGGGATGTGCCAGTTTAGAGACCAGAACTCAGTGAGCTGTTTTTAAAGCAAATTTGTATTAAAATAGTTTCAAGTGAAACTACCCATATTTTCTTGCATGCATACCACATGCCCCCAAATAAAGTACTGTGTTTCGAGGAAGGCTGAATGAAGAAAAAAGAGAGATGGCTATATAGACCAGGGACAGGACAAAATCTTCAGCTCATTCACCTTCCCTTTTCTGTTCAGGCAGAAGCTCAAACTAGAGCTGCTGATGAAGGCTGGTCTTCATGAGCAGATCTACAAATTTGAAAAGAGATGAAAACAGTCTGTAGGGCTGTGAAATGGGGGAAGAGAGACCAAGAGCAGGTAGCGGACAGCAGTTGCCAGGAAAAAGTTAACATGATTACTGGAACATCAGTACCACTGAAAAGGAGTGACTGTTGTTAAAAACTGTGGAGTGAGGAGCAATGAGCTATGAAGACATCTGACTCCCTCAGCTGCCTGAATAGAAATGCCACTTCTTCTGCTTGGCAGTTAATTATAAACTGGGTGAGAAGGAATCAAAGCGGGGTGCTTTTTTCTGACCAAAAATTCAGTTTCCTGCTTAAGACACTCTAATTTTGGAAGGCTAATTTTTGGGGGAAAGGTGCATGTGGTTTGAGAGTAAATACAGTACTTTAACAAAATCCTACAAGTTTGATTCTTTTTTAAATTTATGGAGCTGTTATAGGAAAGATGAAGTATTTTTTGAAAGGAGAAAGGAAGAGCTTCAGTGTGATTCCTAATGGCACATACTTTAAATAACAAGCAGTTGAACAGATATAAAATGTGTGATTAGGATCAGTCCCACAAGATGGCATGTATACACATGTGTATTTTGTTCACTTCTAAAACTTGTTAAATTTCTGGATTGGCTCACTGGGAGTCTCTTCCTGACAGAGGATGTGAACCTGGGCCTGGTTCAATATGTGTTGAATGATGAGAAGATTCAGGAAACAATGGACAGCTTTCAGTTTCTAGTGAAGGACAGCAAACCGAATATGGTCAGTGACAACATTTTCCATATCCAGTGGTCTCTCATCAGCTTTGAATATACCAGGTAAGCAGCCCTCCTAGACTACTCTGCTAACAAGTTGGGGCCTGTTCAGAGGTGGTGTGGGTTAAGATGTAACTTACCATCACTAGTTATTCTCTAAAGTTGGTGTAATAAGCTGAAGGCACCAGGAGAAGGCAGATTTGAAACCATCTTAGACCCACCCTTAAGTTTGGCTCTGTTTTCCCTCAGTGGTATCATAATGTGTCTTAACCTGTAACATGAAAACAATCTTGTTAAGATAAGTTGCCCTAAAATAATATTATACCTCAGTAGTACACAGAAGTCCTCATCAGAACCAAGGCCACTTATCACTATAAATGCACACAGTAAGGCACAATCTCCAGTAATGATTCTGGAATGAAACCAAATGGTAACCAGCAGTCTCAGCCTACTCAGAATTAGTGTGCAAGTTCTAGGTGTAAAGGATGCATGTAGTGGGGGATAGAGAATTTGGCTGAGTTTGGAAAGGCTGTATATTTTAGGGCCTGTAGAAGCAATATCCATACGTTGTTGCCAGTCCCTCCATGCTTTTTACTCAGCTTTGCTTCCTTGAAAGCATCATTGAGCCTTGATTTGTAGTTGCTCAGTATCAGTACAAGCATATGGGGTTATTTACTTCTGTTTCTGTACAGCTTGCTGTATCCTGCTCATCACTAGCATACCTGAGAGCCTTCCAATACTGCATTAGGCAGTGCTCATTAACACCTCTCCTGCATTTGTGTTTTGTACATCTCCAGCTACAACATCAGTGAAAAGGCCAGCTCTGTCAGCATCACAGTGAAAAGGATCGGAAACCTCAACCAATATGCCATTGTCCTGTGCCGCACAGAACAGGGAACTGCCACCTCCAGCTCTAGCATCCGTTCAGAACCAGGACAGCAGGATTATGTGGAGTACGCGGGCCAGGTAGGTTAGGAAACTCTGGGTACATCTATGAAGCAACGTGAAAGTTTGACTTTACCATGTACTAACAGATCTGCCCTAGCATAATTTAGCTAGCATGAGTAGCAACAGAAGTGGGTACATGATGGCCTGGGCTTCAACATGTTATAGCAGCCAGTATACAAACCCTCCATAAAACCAAGAAAATCTGACTCAGACCTGCTAAGAAGTCATTGGTTATTTATGCAGCAAGCGGACTATTTATTTGCTTAAATCTAATCTATGTTGCCCTGGGATGTCTTGATTCTATTTCATTCATTTACACCAGCTTCTGTAAAGGTCTATGATGGGTAAACAATGCTCAGTGCTATACTGAGAGGAAGAAGGATTAATGACATCCTTGGATATGTAAAGAAGGGAGTAGTCAGTAAGAGTGTAGAGATTTTGCCCCTCTACATGACTTATACTAGAATGCTATGTCTAATACCAGCATCCTCATTTTACAAAAGAAGTAAAAAATGAGAACCAAATAGACAAAAGCCTTAAAAGTGATTTGAGGACTGGAAAAGTCTTGTACAGTGAGAACCTCAAGTAGCTCAATCCATGTAGCTTTTCAAAAAGAAGATCAAGAGGTGTCTTCAGGGGGTATAAATTGCTTCATGGGGAGAAACCACCACATACTAAAAAGCTCTATAATCTAGTGGAGACAGATATATAACAAGAGCCACTGGCAGGAAGCTAAGGCCTAACAAATTCAAATGACAAATAAAACACAGATTTATCACAGTGAGAGCAATTAAGACTTGGAACAGTCTACTATGGGAAAAGGTTGACTCTCCAGTTTCCCACGGTTTTCAAGGTTGAATGCCTTCCTAGAAGGTATGCTTTAGTCACACACAAGTTATTTGGCTCACTATTAATTGAAGTCCCCTGGCCTGTGATACAAGAGTTCAAATGAGATGATCTAACAACCTATGCTGACCTTAAAATCTATGCCTCCTTGGACCTCACTTTGAATCATAAATTTCTAAATTTAGGCTCATTTACAAAATGAGTGTTATGTCAGAAATGGGCATGCTTCTCTACTGCCTTGCACCTTGTGTGGTCCTATACCAGGGGTGTCAGATATGGCCCTCAGGCCAGATCCAGCCCACAAAGTCCCACCATCCAGCCCCTGGTGCTGCCCCTGGATCTGATCAGACCCACCGGGGGAACAGAATAGGGAATGGTCCACAAGCCAGATCCAGCACACTTCCCCCTCCACCTTCCCCAACATACCTGATCCTGTGGCTGCTTCAGCTGGCCTGGGATCCATGCTATGCGTGTCTTTGATCGCAGAGCAGCCAAAACAAGTGCCATATGGTCTGGCTGGAGCAGCAGCTGTACTGCATGCGGTGGCCAGACTGCACCTCACCCAGTGCCTCCTCTGGGATATGCGCTGCGTATGGCAACCACTTGAACCAGTTCAAAACATCAGCTGCACATGACACTCACAGGCACTTATGTACAGCAGGGGTCCTGGGCTGGCTGGAGTAGGCATCACATGTTGTGCAGTCCCTGAGTAGTCTGGCTGGAATGGCCACCACATGCAGCATGGCTGCTGCTTCAGCTAAACTGTGCCCCATGTTGCATCTGTTCTGGACACTCTGGGATCTGCGCTGCATGCAACACAGGTCCTGGACTGGGTGGAGCAGCTTCCAGATCAGGTATATGGGGGAGGAGAAGAGGGGTCTAAGTGCCCAATCCAGCCTGTGGACAAGCTCCACATCACTCATCCGGCCCATGAGGCCAAATGAGTTTGACATCTTTATCCTATACCTTGTTCAAACACTAATAAAATTGGGTGCACATGCTTTGCACAGATGTGTGTGTGGCTGAATAAGGAGCAAGGCAATGAAGAGTCAGGTCAAGGACAGTATTTTGATACTGCAGTCCAAAGAGGTCTTTGAAAATATGATCCAAAAGCCCTCTGGAAGTCACCAGGAGTCTTCATCTTGGGATGTAGTAGGTTTGGATTAGGTTACAGATGAATAAAAGGTAAATACAACTCTACATAACACCAAAGGAACAGCAGTTCTGAGAGTATGAAAGGTTTAGTGCATTTGTTGTTGTCAAAATGAAGTAAGGAGGTTCACGGACAATGTGCCCCTTGTTTTTCCTGTCTCTACAGGTGCAGTTTGATGAGCGAGAGGACACCAAGGCCTGCACTATTCTCATAAATGATGATGACGTCTTTGAGAACATTGAGAGCTTCACTGTTGAGCTCAGTATGCCAGCCTATGCTTTGCTGGGCGAGATCACCCAGGCCAAAGTCGTCATCAATGATACAGAGGATGAGCCCACTTTACAGTTTGACAGGAAGACTTACTACATCAATGAGAGTGCTGGCTTCCTGTCTGCACCCATAGAAAGGAAAGGTTTGTTGTAATGAATGCTGTATTATTATTACTATTATTGTAGTTGTTGTTTTGTTGTTGATAATAAGAATTGAGTTATTAGTAATACTCATTGTAATAATATAATGTCATGTAATGATATAATAGTAATATAATAATATAACAGTAATATAGCAAAATAATAAGAATTTTCTTTTTTACCACATTTTTCAGCACAGACAGTAATTAATTAAAGTTTGAAGTGTTAGTATATTTCTTTATCCCCAGTTTACAAATGGGTAAGCCAAGACATACAGGTTAGGGAGAAATGAAATGTATAACCAACATTACAAGGTAAAACTCTGTCCATCCCATAGAGATCAAATGAAATTGTCCTGTAATAGATCAGTGACACCTAAGAGTGCAATGCGGAAGCCCTAATCCTCAAACTCCTGCTTTTAATGCTGAGCATCACTAGCGCACACCTATAAATTGTGGTCAGCAGTACGATTTACCGTACACGCAAGTCACTGACCTTTGTGTGACAGGAGTTTGTAAAATCCAGGGTTTTGCTATCTATGGTTTTGATTTTCATAACATAATTTTAGAATGTTGCAATGAGCAGTGTTCAGATGGCACTTGATTACTGATTGGATCCTGGATCCAACCTTCCACCAGATAGGTGGAAGTAGTGCTAAGGTTTGCTCTGTCACTGCCCTTTGTTAGTTTTCTCAGATAAGTGAGCTAGTATTTCCTCTGAGGAGGCAAATATCAAAGCCCCCCCAAAAAGGTGGGGCTGCTTCCTGTGTTTCTAAGCCTACAGTTATCCACTGGAAAGAATAAAATCAAAAAGAAGGGAGAAGGGGGAATGAGGAGAGCCCAGTTGCCTTTTTTCCTCCCTTCTGTTATATTCAGTAATCAAAGACAGCTGAAACAGGAGCATACCATTGTGTCTGTTGACTGCTTCTCTGCAACCCAGGCATGGGGCACCGCACAGAGCACAGCTGCAGTGTGTGCTAGGAGGCCTGCCCCACTGGTTCACTGATTTCTGAGTAATGGTAACACCTGGCAGCAGTGCAGAGCTTGGAGTGAATATCCAGGACCAGGCTGGCTAAATTCAAAATGCTGCTTTCCATTAATGCTGGGTCACTTCCTGGGCATGTTCCAAAGTAGGGGGAGTATTCCCAGGCCCCTCCCCCCTTTCCTAAATATTGTACCTGTGTGCCAGGAGCTACAGTGGAAGATATTTGGATATCTGAACTTATTCAGCTAATGAAACCCAGTGCAGTTTTGACTACAGCAAAGATTCTCAGTGAGGTTGCCAAAGATACCCTGGGGTACTACCAGGTCCTTTGAAGGATGCTTTGAGGTATGAGAAGATAAGCAGATAAATTAAACAGATAAGCGAGGCTCAGGCTTTGTGCTGACTGGACAGTCCCTCACCCCTTAGTGCCCAGCCCTTGTTTAAGGAGATAAGCACTGTAATGTATAAATTAGTTTTTGAAATTGGGTGCCATTCAGTTCACAAAACTTACAGAGGGGTTCCTTAAATCAAGTGATGGTTACCTTAAGTCCAAAAGGTTGAGAACCACTGGCCTACAGTAATACTTTTGTCCCCTTGTATGCTGTGTTGTAGGGGATGCCAGCAGCATTGTGTCAGCTGTTTGCTACACTACTCCCAAATCTGCTAAGGGCAGCAGTCTTTATGCCCTGGAGTCTGGCTCTGACTTTAAATCCAGGGGGATGTCGCATGAGAACCGTGTCATTTTTGGACCTGGTGTCACCATGTCAACCTGTGACGTCAAACTGATTGATGACAGTGAGTACGAGGAGGAGGAGGAGTTCGAGATCGCCCTGGCAGATGCCTCTGACAACGCACGCATTGGGAGCCTAGCTTCAGCCAGAGTTCTCATCAGTGGCCCCAATGACGCCTCCACCGTGTTCCTGGGAAATGCTAGTTTCACGGTCAGTGAGGATGCAGGTAAGGATGCAGTAGCAGTTTCCTTAATCCTGTGCATCACCCCAAAGTGCCTCTGGTAGAAATACCACTGTCCAGGTGATGATGTGAGGTTGTTCAGCTTTGGACTGGGCCCACGTTGTATGGGGAAATGGGAGCTGTAGTGGCACTCCAGCTGTACCTTTTCATCCTGCCCTCCAATAGAAGTGGATTCCAGCTGTGGCCTACTGACACAGCAAAGATACAACTTTCTGGCATGTAATTGTGTTCTAACTCTGGCTCTAATATGTCTAACTTGAAATGCAGGTACCATTGAGATCCCTGTTATCCGGCATGGTACAGACCTGTCAACCCCCACGTCAGTGTGGTGCGCCACTCGGCTTTCTGATCCACCCTCTGCCAGTCCAGGAATTGACTATATACCCAGCTCCAAGAAAGTGGAGTTCAGGCCAGGCAGAACTGAAGAGGTACTGGACCAAACATCCTATGCTTACATGAGCATATTTCGTTCTAACTCATCTCTCACTTCTGCTTATAGACACATTCTCTTTCTCACTACCTCTCTCCATTACACATTTGCTATTTTGAAAGCCACCTAAATTAAATTCACTGTATTTATTTAGCTACTGGGATTTTTGGACATTAGAGGAAAACAGTAGGTATTGCTTAAAGATGCAGTTTATCCCAGATCCTTGTCAGCATGGCTGCATCAGGAGCTATTTTAATAAAATAAAGCTGAAAGAATTATCACAAGCTGTTCACACTTTGACCAGAAACAATCTGATTTTTTCATGTAAAATACCACCCACATACTTAAGTGTGCACTATGTGTTGTGGGAACTCTAATTGCCCTATTGTGACATGTCTTCGCATCACTGTATTGTAACTCTCTCTTGCCATGTACTTAGATGGTAAGTTCTTTGAGGAAAGGACCCTTGTGGCACCCTGGGCTGGCGCTTGTGAGTATCCTACCACTCTGTGGTCTGGGCCCCCGACTCTCCTGCCACGACTTGATGGAATGGTAAAAGGAGGGGTTCAGTGGTGTTCTCTCCCCCAACCCAAAGACGGGGATACTCACAGGTTCGCTGCGGATGTTCTTGGGGCTCCACATCCCCTACACCCTGTCCACGTGCCAACCACATGGATCTTCATGTTACCATACCAGTGCTGGGCTACAGCCCATTTGTTGCCCTGAGGGGCCTCCACCTCCTCGAATGTGGATAGGGCTCAGGCTTAGGGATTCAGCCTGCCCGCCCCTCTTCCTCTTGGGTCCACCCTGGTCCCTGCATTGGCCTTGAGGCCTCAGATGAGTGCTTAAGGGCCAGGATGGATATGGCCAATCACGCTCCCTTATGGAGACACACTGGCCGCAGGCCTCTCGTGCTCCGGGACTGCAGTTTGCAATGTCCCAGGCAGCTTCTGACTGCTGCCTTTGCCCATTCACTGTGGGGCAGAGCCAGAGGGCTCATTCATGCTGGCATCCTGGGCCTCAGCTGGCCCGGCATCTTGCCAGCTGGGTTCTGCCCTGCATCCAGCTTCCAGCGGGGTTTTTGAATCTCCGGCAGTGGTGGCTTCAGCTGATGTGATCAGCTGGCTGCGGCTCAGCTTAATCAACAACGCTGGCTCGCGTGGTTCTTTCTCCACCCCGGTCTGCCACCTCAGTAACTTTGCAGTGGCGTCAGCATCCCTATTCCCCTCTCTGGGAGTGTTGGGGTCTGCCCCCAGCACTTCCGGCCCCTGAGGGTGTACCCCGCCACCACAACCCTCTCTTCATTAAATGGGTGAGTAGCTATCCCTGACTGGAGTCTCTAGGTAAAACCCTATTATGAAGAAGTAATAATATTTCCCAGAGGCAAAGTGATGCTGTGAAGCTGTTGGTTAAACTGTGTTTTCAATTTTACCATGTTATGCTCTAGAATTTATGGAACACACAGTTCGTTATTTAGTTCATTCTTGAGTAGTCACAAATTGTGATGTCAAGTTAGTTCAACTTTTCAGCTCCCGAATGCATGCCTTATTTATGGGAAAAAATCCATAATCCATATGTTGTTTAACAGCAACCAGAAGTATGGCAATCAGGTCATGGAACACAAAGACACTGCTCTTGTCCCAGAAAGTTTCCAGGGTATGGTGTTTAACAGGCACAAATAGCAATGAAGAGCCTTATTCCTAGTTGTTACCTACTTAGATACCTCACAGCCACTTGTGCCTTTGAAAATCTCTACCAGATTCTAAATGGTTACATGTAAAGGTGAAAAATCCAGCAAATATTTGTTTACCTATTTATTCAATGTATAGGATGCCCTTTCCAACAAAAGCTCATAGCAGCTTACCATAAAAATACAGATTACTGTATTAACCTGAATCTAAGTTGACCCTGAATTTAAGATGACCCCCCATAATTAAATTGTATATATGGGAAATTTATAAATTTGGTATAATTTTCCAGGTATAGAATTTAATTATCAGATGGTTGTTTTGAATTTGCCCCCCTCCCACAGCTACAGCAGGGAAAATAGCGGTGGGAGGGCCAGGTGGGCCTTTGCCCCTCCCCACTTCTTCCCCCTGCAGCCTTCATATCCTACCTACACCCTCTCCTCTGCAGCTCCCCATAGTCATTGCCTGTCCCCACCCAGTCCCTGCAGTCTTTGCCTCTCTGCCCTGACCACCCACCCACTCCTTACTGTCAGATGCTGCTTTGGATCTGTTCCCACCTGAAGCACAGCATGGAAGCTCAGCCCTTGCCAGGCCATGCAGCAGTGTCAGCACTGCTGATTGGCCAGGGAGGGGACAGAGTTTCCATGTGCTCCATGTCTGGGAGCATACCTAGTCCAAGCTGGAGCTGAGCTGTGCCTGACAGTATGGGTGGGGAAACAGAGGAGGGCAGAAGGGAGGCACAGAAGATGCATAGGCATGTGGAGGTGGCCAGGGCAGGAAGCTGCTCTGGGTCTGACTCTGACCCTGGCCTAAGCTCAAAGCGACAGCAGCCATCTGTCTCCCTCCTGTGCTTTCGTATACCAGTCTAAGATGAGGGGCTTCCCCCCCCCTGCTGACTGGGGAAAAAAGCCTTGTCTTAGATTTGAGTGAATACAGTAGCTTAAAAACAGGAGAGCGACAAGAGAACAAAGCAACTTCAGTGGGAACTAGAACATCAAGATAAAAGGGGTAAAACATCTCATCCTAGCTTTGTTTGGTGAATACCTGCCCAAATCTAAAAGTCTTGCAGTGCTTCCAAAAGATGTCTAGGCTCCAGTGCTGGTGGGCCTCAAGAGGGAGAGAGTTCCAGAGCTAAGGAGCAACTCTTGAGAATGAACTCCCACATGTTTTTGCCACGTGGTTTTGGCACACTAAATGTACTTACAGGAAGTTGCTGTCAGCTGACCTTAAGGACTGTTTGGGGGCATAGGGAAGCAGGCGATCCCTTAGGTATGGAGGGCTCAGAGTGTTTAGAGCCTAGTGGGAAGAAGTGGGGTAAAGAAAGATGAAAGTTACAGAAAAGTGTCTTACCAATATGAACATTCAGCAAATGTAGTTGTGAGCCCTGCTGTGTGAATCTGGTAATACAACAGGCTGTTCCACTAGTTAAGACACTAGCTTAGGATTTTAGGGCACTTACACACATACAGGGAACCTGCTCTGATGCTCTGGAAATCCATGTAAATTGCTGTGCTCTGGCTGCCTTGCACATCATGTGTATCAGTGGTACAGCGTGCCTCTGCACTGAGAAAATGGCGGTGGTGCGCGTTGAACTAAAACACATTTGATGTGCAGTTCAGAGTGAACCGCTGCTATTTTCTCAGCATGGGGGCACACTATGCCACTGATGCACATGATGCGTGGTTGCTTTTAACTAGCATAGCTTGTTAATTAAAAGCATGTCGGAAACACATGTAAAAATGCCATTTAGAGCTCAGAGATCAAGTCACTCCTCTGTCACAGACTGCTTTTAAGATCTTGGGTAATCCACTTAGTCTCTCTGTGCCTCAGTTCTCCTTCAAGAAGATGGGGATGACAGCACATCCTAATCTCAGAGGGATGTTGTGAAAATGCATCAAGGAATGTTAGTCCATCAGAGACTATCATCATGGGGACCATGGGAGTTGCTGTGATGGACAGACAAATCAGGTGTTTTGCCTGAACAGAAATCTATTAGGTCAAAGTTGACGTTGTGGCTGTAGATGCCATAGTTAAATGCACCTCTCCCAGGGTAAAGGTATTTTGTTATTTTGTGATATGGAGAACATCGTGTTTTAAAGAGCTGTTGAGGCTTAGGCACCTAGAATTAATGACATTACTCAGCCTGAGACTCAACCTGAGATGACTATTCTCTCCTTTTGACAAAATCACAGCAGGTTTGGTATTACAGTAACACAAGAATTTTCCTTTTCCTTTAGTATTGTACCTTGACAATCCTGGATGATGCTCAGTACCCAGTGATTGAAGGGCTGGAGACTTTTGTTGTATATCTGAGCTCACCCCAAGGGGCGGAATTGACTAAACCTTTCCAAGCTATTGTGGCCATTAATGACATCTTCCAAGATGGTAAGCTGTGCAGTCAATCTGTACCCAGTCTATTGTGTCACCTGCCATTATGTTTTCCTTGTGCACGAAGATAAGTTGGAGCCTATAGAATTATACCCTGGTTGAATTCAGTCCATATTTACTACTTAAAACATGTTCCATATTGGCTGCCCTGTGTTTCTTTCCTTAGCTCCTTTGTCCACAAGAGATTATATTTTTTGGAAACACAAAATAAATTTCGTTTGCTTCTCTCATTTTCAGCCAGGCTTTCTCACTTGGCTCAAAATGAATAGCTCTTTCCTCCTTGTATAGTCCCATAAGTGCTTCACCTGGAGGAAGGTGTTACTTAGCGTGGCGTAGGAATAAGTGCTCTGGCACATGCTACATTTAAGAGATGATTAATGTATGATAAATAGTAACCTGGGCACACAATAAGGCCAATTTGTGGTGTGATAATATAGCAAATGAGCCACAAAGCTATTCCACATATAATGTACAGTGTGTTTGTGGCTCATTTGTATTCTATCTTAGGGCCTTGTTAAACATTAATTTTAGGCAACTCCTAGAGCTCTTTAATCCTGATTGTCCACACATTCACACCTGAAACTAGTTTTAAGCACTTTGTAAGGACACACTGCTCCCACTGCCCTCCCCAGCAACCCCACTAACTGTCCCCCCTCTGCCACCCCTCCCCCTCCAGTTATGTTTGGCTGCCTGCACTATCTGTCCTGAGGGAGCAGACAGGGAAGGGTTAACCTGCCTGCCTGGCCACCGCTGCCACTCCTGCAGTCTGGGCTGGGCTCAGCCCAGAGAAGAGCAGTTGGGGGTGGGCATTGGACAGGCAGGTTAACCCTTCCCTCCCTGACAGACACCATGGGCAGCCACAAGTAAATGGGAGGGGAGGCAGAGGGGAAGCCCCAGGGGGAAGCTCAGAATGAGACAGGCCTCTACTGGCCTGAATGTGTGACTGCTCCAAACTCAAGATAGCACTAATACCCATCAACTTTTGAGCAGCTCACAGTGTAACATAGAACAAGTTCCTTAAACTGAACTTGTGCCACGTCAGGGCAAAGTCATGACAAATCCTAATGCTCAGCTGAGTGCAGGGATCCAGCATGGGATAGCCCCAGGGTCCAGGACACAGCCATCCCTTACCCAGTCATTGGGATCAGGCTAGAAGCAGTGTCAGGTCCTAGACCCAGAGCCCCTGTCTAATCCCCAGAGACAGATGGCGAGCTCCCTAAGCCCAACATCAGGAAATGCCTCACTGATCTCGGGCTCACTCCACCCCGATCCTTTACAAAGCAGGCATGTATCTGGAAACCCCAGCTGTACACTTCCTTTTTTTAGTCCCCGGGATACATATGGAAGAGACAGCTGGAGAGCTGGCAGCTTCGCTCATCAACAGCAGGCATCACTTTACAATGTAGGGCATGAGCAGCTAGGGAGCCAGGAGCTTCCAACTGCCTGTGCCTCACACCCTGGGTCCAGCCCTGTGGGGTGCAAAAGCAGCAGCCCACACTGCAAGGATGGCTGCTCCCCCTGCTCCCAGCCTCCTCTGCCCCACCAGCAAGAGCAGCTATCAGAGTCTCTGGGGAGGTTTTAATGCCCTAAAGCAGGTGAAAATGTCCTCCCTTCCCTTTCTTGCTCAGATGTTGTACCCTCCCCTCCCCTTTCCCTCAATCCCCCCCACCCATGCCCCCTGACTCCCGCACCTATCCTTGCTGCATTTTCCACAGTTGAAGGGGAGGGAAGTTTCAGCACCGACAGGGCTGAGCTGGGGCTAGGCTGAGCTGGGGAGGGGACTGTGGCAACGGGGTGACTGGAGAGTTCCCCCCACCCTGCCAGTCATAGCACAGGGAAGGAGAACCCCTGTCCATCTTTGCTGCTCTTGTCCCCATCCCCAGCTGAGCTCAACCCCTGTGCAGCTGGCAGGAATGGCTCTGGTGCTTCTCTGCCCTCAGGACATCAAGGAAAGGCAGGATGAGGGCAGGGGAGTGGTGAGGATGGGGAATGTGACAGGCAGTGGGTGTTTCTTTGAGCAGGTGGGGGGGAGACAGTATTTTCACCTGCTTTAGGAACTTGAAAAAGTCCCCAAAAGCTCCCATGATATGATCCACTCCAAAAAGAGGGGTGCAGCTGTGCCACTGCAGCCCTGCAGTATTCATACAGCTCAGCCAAGCCCTGAGATATACATATCTACTTCTCCAATGCAGGTAGAATAGGAGTGTAAGTCAGGCAAAAAGAAAATACTGGGGACAGTAAACAAGTCTAATGACTTTCTGTTTGGGTGGCTAAGGGCTAGTAGAGAGAGAGAGAGACTTGCTTCTTTACCAAGGGCAGCATACTGTCCAGTTCCCATCCTCCTGAGAAAGGAGCAATGGAAATAGCCATCAGTTGGTTGGGTAAGAAGAAGAATTCTCTGCCCAGGCACAGCTGAAGTACATCCTCTGAAATCCCATTTGGTTGCTGGCACACTGCACACAGCAGTTTATCAGTATGTTACAGGCCTAAGCTGGACATTTTAAACCCAGTAATGGTAGGTCTCTTGTTGTAGTACCCAACATGCAGTTTGGCAAGGACTTGTACACGGTAAAGGAGAAGGAGGGTGTCCTGCATATTCCTGTTATCCGTAGCGGAGACCTGAGCTATGAGTCCTCTGTCAGATGCTACACCCGGAGTCAAACGGCAGAAGTCATGGAGGACTTTGAGGAGAGAAGAGATGCAGAGGACTCCCGCATCACCTTCCTGAAAGGGGAGAAGGTGAGCTGAAACTGCTCGGGTCAGGCGAAAGCAAAAAGAGACTGGCAGAGGAAGTTTGGAAAACCTTGATGTTCTCCTTGGCTGCCTGTCAACTGAAGCTTTTCCAGAGCTAATTCCTCAGGGCACATCCTCTTCCTGTGTTGGGTTTGGGTTGTTCTGGAAGTATGAATCTGTAGGCAGGTAGACACTAGTTAGCATATGAAAAACAAACCTAATATATCAATATCTAGAATGATTGCTAGTGCTTTTGGAGCACGTAGCCTTGAAATCCATACAAAGCTAGCTGTGTGGAGTCAGAGTTGTTACTTTTGTACATCAATGTTTTATCATATAACTGTATTTAAATGTCCACATGTAGCTTGCCAGACTTCAGTTACTAAAGTGTCTTTTACCATTGAATGCACCGTGGTAAAAAACACTACATGATGAGGAAACAATTGTGACTTTCTGTTTAAGTTCAAAGGAATTGCTGCTCCTCTCTGACAGGTGAAAAACTGCACTGTCTACATTAATGATGACTCTGCATTCGAGCCAGAGGAACAGTTCAGGGTCTATCTTGGCAGCCCCATGGGGAACCACTGGAGTGGAGCTAGAATGGGAAAGAACACCATGGCCACCATTACTGTTTCCAATGATGAAGATGGTAAGAGAGAATAGTCCCTGTTAGAAGAAGCTCGTCCAATTCCAACAGTTTCACGCATTTACACCAAACCTGAATAGTGCCCATGACATGTAAACTACCTTTGATTAAATGACTGAATTGACTTGATGATTGCTGCTATGTGCAGTTGGATTCATCACATACAAAACTAATTCCAAGTCTGATGCAAAATCCAGTGTATGTGTTCACAATACTGCACTATACAACTAGCTGTCCACAATACAGAAATGTAGTGAGTGTGCAAAGCTGAGGCAAACCAGCCATGCTCTTTAGTGGTGGAGCAGCCTGAAGCTCACTTTCGAAGTCCAGCAACCAGCAGAGCTCCCAAGAACCCTGTCTAGACTACAAGCTCAGCCCCTGGGTAAGGCAGACTGCGTATTTATTATTTATTAAAGTGTGACATCTGTGTATTTATTTTCTTCATACCATTTCTCTAGCACCCACCATTGAGTTTGAAGAGGCTGCCTATCAAGTCCGGGAACCTCCTGGCCCCGAAGGCATTGCCATTTTGAACATCAAAGTGGTCAGGAGAGGGGACCTGAACAGGACCTCCAAGGTCCGATGCAGCACACGTGATGGCTCAGCTCAGTCTGGAGTTGACTACTACCCAAAGAGTCGGGTCCTCAAGTTCAGCCCTGGTAAAGGACACATGGAGCTGATAAGTTATGTGGTACAGGGATTGCAAGTGACATTGTGCATAGGCAAAAACAAATTAGTATTACAGGACAATGCACAAATGTTTTAAACAAAAGCACATGCTGTCGGTGGGATTTTTAGATGTACTTGATCTCGGCCCACGGTGCATGCTCCATTAGCTAAGAAAGGGGTGTCAGAGATACAGACTCAGGCCCAGCCCATGGAGCCTTGTCATCTGGCCCCCAGTGCAGTCCATGAGTCTCACATGGCACCCATGCGTAGCTGTGACATGCACCAGACCAGCCCTGTACATTACATGGGAAGTGTGGGGCTGGTCTGGTGTGAGTTGCAGCTAATACATGAGGCCAGTTCAGGGTGCATGTTTCTGGCTGTACTCAGGCCAGTCCAGGGTACATGGTGTCTGTGGCACTACACAGGACCAGCCCAGCACCACTCATTCAGCTCATGGGGCCTGATGAGTTTGACATCCCTGAGCTAAGCTATTCCAAACCCCTCTCATATGTTTTTGATCTGGGATTTGTTTTAGACATGTGTGCTGTGGTCCTGTAAACCTTTAAAAGTTCTGTTACCATTTGGAGGTTTGGGATATACTTGTTTCCTGGTATTTATTGTACATGTACTTTTCCCAAACTAGCCATGTATCTAGTGAGATTCTTTAAGTATGTTGGAGAGACCATGGGAGAAGTCACAAATAAATCAAGTGTGACATTTTGACAGGACACATACCAGAAACACCAGTAAGCTATGTCCACTTCTCACTGCAGGAGGCTGAGAAAGGAAGAACTTGAAGACTATTGGTGGCAGGGAGTTAAGTGACAGCCAGAGGATAAGGTCACTTTTGGGGGGATACCAAACCATTGCTGTCTTCTCCTTTCACAGTCAGATTCAAGAGGGGCAGTTCAAACATGATTCTTGTAAAGAGTGGCAGGAAGGAGTTGGTTGGTGGGCCCATATAGTCCTTTGTCTAGGAGATGCCTCATGGTAATGGTTTATTTTGGATACTAGCCTATATGCACACAATGAAAAGTGAGTTGCTGCCCACAGTGATGTTGGTGCAACCCAAAAAGAGTGGGAGTGAGCCATTAGGGAACACTGTGGCAAGCTTGGTGTAAGTGCTTCAGGAGGCAGGATGTTAGAGACTTTGTGCTCACAGGAATTAACATGACTGCAAAGCCATTTCCTATCACAGCATGTTTCTTGTTTGGTGTCATCAAGGAACCAACTTCCACATTTCTTCCCATTCCACATTTCTGCTTGATGATATTTTTTCCTATAATAAATTCAGACTATGTTGCGTCTGGCTTTAGCCATGTGGGTGTCATTAAAGTCAGTGGGACTCTCATGGATGCAATCTTGCATTCCACTGTGGATATAATTTTGTGACCCAAAAATGCACTGTAAGGATGAGCTATTGCAGCCAGGGTGATTTGTAATAGGTAAGGGAATGCTGTCAGCTAGGAGCACAGGCTCCTCACAGTACCTGTGTATATAGAACTTTGCAGAAACCCCTACAGAACAACATTAGTCACGCTATAGGGATCCACCAGGCTTTCATCCACAGCTCTGACTATCACAGTGAAAGAGTTAAAACAGACACCCACATAAGAGAAAGGGATATATTTTGGATCGTAAATTTTTATTGCTGTCAGCTAATAGAAGACAGGCACTATTAATCCTCATAAAGGAACTGCTAGTAAATCTGCTGGGTGATCAGTCAGATCAGTTGTCCTCCCTCGTGTTTTATTTATGGAATGGGCTTCCTGGGTGGAATAGGGTTAAATCATTCCAAGTGAATGCGCAGAGATGAAATCGGTATTTTAACATAATGTTTCCGTGGTCCTGATCTAAGCCAACCAAGCAGTTTTATGGGACACTTTACAGTAAGGTCATGTGATAAATCAAGTTATCTCAGTCTTTCTTGTGGCTTTTCATGCAGGTGTGGACCACATCCTGTTTAAGGTGGAGATTATGTCCAACGAAGACCGGGAGTGGCATGAGTCGTTTTCTCTGGTGCTGGGTCCTGATGATCCAGTGGAAGCTGTTCTTGGAGACACTGCCACTGCGATAGTGACTATTTTGGATCAGGAGGCAGCAGGGAGCCTTATTTTGCCAGCTCCTCCCATTGTAAGTTGCCAGATATGAGAGAAATCATGGAAAAAGGAGAGCATAGAAAGCAGCAGCTCGTTTTACCTGGCAGAGTGGCCTGAGCTTGTTTTTGCTAGACAGTAGGCGCTTTACATGAGCACTTTACTTGAGATTAGAGGAAATTGCTGCACATTAAGCACTGCCATCTACATGTGCAGATGCTTACTGTAAATTTGCTACCTTTAAATACAAGTAGCAAATTTACTCCCGATCGCTTACTGCGCAGTAGTGCATGTGTAGACAGCATACTGGGAGCAAATGTGCTTCCAGGCAGCAGGGGGCAGGAGATTGCTCCCTGTCCTCTGGAGCTGTCTGCTGCAAGGGCAGGCTCTGCCACTGGAGCGTGGGTGGAGACAATGTCCCCCTGCCCCTGCAGCAGGGTGCTCCCAGCCTATGTTTTGTGATTGCAATCAAGAAGTGGGGCCTGGGTGATTCTTACCTCTCCACCTCCTCTTTGAGGCTATGATTGGGGAGCAGGCTCTGGGAGATTCTTATGTCCCAGCTCTAGCTCCACAATTGCAGAGCTGGGAGATAAGAATCTCCCACCCTGGGCCCCACAACTGTGATTGTGGAGCAGGGGCTGGGAGCTCCCTGCTGCAGGGGTCAGTGAGTTGTTGAAGGCTGCATGGGTAGCCCCACCCCCTGGTTGCCATCTTGAGACCAGAAGTCCCGTCCCTAACCCCTGACCTTTGCCACTGGAAGTCCCTGGAAATACTCCTTTTGGGAGAGAAGAAAACCAAATCATACACTAACAGTCAAACACCTACTATAATATATTTTAATTTTATTACAAAAAATATTTTTGTCATGAATTGTGTTTACATAGAGATGATTGCATGTTAACTCAAAAATAAGGTCTTAGTCTTGTATATTGCATGTAGGGGTGTGTGGGTGGGGGGGTGTATGATGGGGAGGTGTGGGGGTGCAATAGGGTATGTTGGGTGGTATATATGTGGGTGTTACACAAATGGCCAATTGCTCAAATCACAAGCAAGACTTTATAAAGGGGGATAAGGCAAGGTGCCGCATTTATTGATTACATGAGTTAGACATAGAGGTTCAGGCACACCGTTCATACAAACACACACAAATCATCATACACATCATTACACACAGGCGTACACATACACAAAACAACCCTTTCATCCACACGTACACCAGATCTAGTTACCAGCAATAGTTGCTCAATATCAGCCCAGAATTTTTTTTCTGTTATTTCCTGTGTGCCCTTGAGCTTCAAAGGGATTCTTCAGCCCTTCATTAATTAGCTTACTGACTGGTAACTTACATTTGGCGCCTTGTTGCTTACATAAACAGTTAAATCTTCTTTTTCCATCTCTATGCCATTCTATCACCATTCACCCTTTTACACACAGTCATACATAAAGGCTATGCACAGTTCATTCATTTACATCAAGCAGAAGGATACAAAATGGAGTTTTCAAGTTGCTTACAGGACAAGACTAACATGGTTATATTTTACTATTATTATACTCTATATTTCAGTTTCATAGTTTGAAACATAGAGTGCACTCACTCCTGAGTCAGCGTGCTGTAGAGTCAGGCTGTAGAGGATGGGAAAATGTACACTTGGAGCAGTTTCAAAAGTAAAGGGGGAGCTTCTGCTTCGGACAACACAGCAGCTCTTGTATTGTAACTGCTAGGCATGCTGGAGCCTATAGCTATATGAATGTAGCAAAATCATTCTAACTTTACCTCTTCTTTCTCCTGGATTAAAGTTGCAGTGATTTCATAGTTTCATAGATTCTAGGGTCGGAAGGGACCTGAGAACATCTAGTCCGACCCCCGGCCATGGCAGGAAAGAGTACTGGGGTCAAACAACCCCAGCAAGGTGTTCATCTAACCTCTTCTTAAAAACCCCCAGGGTAGGAGCCTGCACCACCTCCCTTGGAAGTTGGTTCCAGACTCTAGCCACCCTGACCGTGAAATAGTGCCTTCTGATGTCTAACCTAAACCTACCCTCTGCTAGCTTGTGACC